ATATATATTAATATATATTAATATATATATATATATAAAGGAGCCATTACAGCAGTTTCATATATTTGGTTATGGGAAGACTTGCAGGTGAGCTTGAAGTAATTTTAGGCTGTTCCCCATGTATGTTTTTGTTGACTAGAACTAACAATGGTTTAAAATACTATTCAAACCCTCTTTTTCTGTTCATGTGGTAATGAAGGAGGCTTCATTGCCATCGCACTTACCGACAAGCAGAAGACATGAGTACTTCCACAAAAAAAAATTACCAGAGACCCCTTGAGACCTCTGCTTTTCATTTCCTGAACAGCCTTAGAAAGCTTCAAGAGCAAATTGTAGCGTTACCCAGCTCTGGCTTTGCACATACTGATTCACCATCAAAAGTCAAGTAGCCCTGAAAAGTAGTCCTGTCTTAACAGAGAGGGAGCCTTCCTGCTTCTCCACTCATCTTGTTCACCTCTGGCAGTGACTAAGTCTGACAATGTGCCTGCTAGGAAGAGAATCTAAGAAGATACAATTTATCAAATTCTGTCATGCAAAATCTTCAGTCTTCTTTCAAAAGACAAAACCAATTCCATCTGTTCAAAGAAGTGGAAAACATTTGTGGGTTTCTGTCACCATAAAAGACAAAAACCATGCACACTCCTGCTTTCAACCATTTTAGATTATCTATCAAAGCTGCCCCATGCACAAATACAGTAGAGAGTTGTCACTGTACACCTAAGCCATAACTTCAGAATTATTTTAAGCATATAAGAAAAGAATTTACCAACTAGTCCAAGCTGTGATCAAAAATGTTGAAAGCAATGCATTTGTTTTTTTAAAATCAGAACAATTTATGCTGGAGAGAACCTGAGGAGTTCTAGGCCTAGCCCTTTCCCAGAGCTAGGACAGCTTCAAAGTTAGATCTCATCTTGGCCTTGTCTCTAGAGTTTTGAGTGCCTCCAAGGGTGGAAATCAAACAGCCTTCGTGGGCAACCTGTTCCAGGGTTAGATCATCCTCAGATAGTCCAATGCTGTAACTTCTAACCATCACCTTTCTTGTGTACTTCCAAGGAGAGGCTGACTCACTCTTCTCTGTAACTGTCAATTAGGTAACTGAAGACAGCAATGTTAGTCTGCTTTTCTCCAGGCTGCCCCAAACTCAGCTCTTCAGCTTCCTGTCTGTCTTCATCTGCTCCAGCCCCATGTCTGTCTTGATGGCTGAATTTGTTCCAGGTGCTAGCATCTCTTTGGTAGTTGTGGAGCCCAAAACTGTGCGTGGTCCTCTAGATGTGGCCTCACGAGTGTCAAACATACGGGCAAACACATGAAAAAGTGTTAAGACATCCTCTGTCCTACCCTGCTAACTGCCATAATAATCTGCTTTAAAATGTTATCTGCAGTATTTAGTCCTTAAAACCAATCATTTCATTTGACTTAGGGTAGTCACCAAGGTTGCTGCCTCTTCTAAAAAGCTGAAGTGATGCCAGAACCTTGTTGACAATGGGCTTGGCTCTTGAACAAGCCCAGTTGCATATCCAGGTGTTTTTCTAAACCCATGCTGCTCCTGGAAAGAAGAGAACATTGCTCTGTAACATTTCAGTATTTGATCGCAATACTGTTTGCAAAGCAGCTGCTTTGAAATGCTGCGTTGAAACACCGATTTTATAACAATTCTAGAGAATGTCCGTGTGTCGTGCTGCTGCCGGGTGGCTGCTCCAGCTTTTCCTTGTGTTGTGATTTAGTCCAGTGGAGCCTGAGCTATAGAACAGCTGAAGTTCCTTAACTGAACAGTAGAACAATAGCTGAAGACCTGCTGTTACAGACTGAGATACTGCTGTGTGAACGATTCATTCCATCATCCACCTTCTGCTTCTGCCTCCTTGCCTGGCATCTCTTCATTTCTGGGATTCTGGATTAAACTATGGAATGGACAAATTACAGATAGCAGATGCTGGGGTTAGGTAGCTGTAAACAGGATCTACAACCAAAAGTCAGTGCTGTTCTGGTGACTTAATGATAAGAGACATAGGAAACCACCTGCTGTATGTAGTTAAACAGTAATTAACTGTTTTCTTGCGCAAAATCCAGCTTTCCGTTTATTTGCAGTTATGTATAGTGGTGCGTATATAAATTGCTATTCTTGTTGAAAATAGTTGAATTATTGTGTGAATTTGGTAGCAATTTATTAAGTTTTTCTCTTTCAAAAAACTTTATACAATTTTCAGATGTCCATTTTTTTCTCAGCAAAATGAGAACCTGAAGGCCTAGAGCACTTCTTTGACTTCAAAGTGGTAAACTTCTAGGATGTAGATGCTCTATTTCAGTAGCAACATAACCAGAAGATTTCATTGTAAGAATTTCAGAATAGCAATTAGAGGTGGTACCTTAGATTGTTAATGTTTTGTAATAATTTAGGAATTTTTGTAATTGTTTTTACAATTAACAATCAAGAAGAGTAGAACTGATGAGCTAGGAGGAACAATTTCTCATTGATTTGAAAATTCATAGAAACCTTTTGGGGTTTGATTTTGTTTGTTTGTTTGTTTGTTTCCATCTTCTGGTGTCCTCTGTGTGTTAAAAGTAGTTTAGATCTCTTCAAGTTGATGATCATATTAAGCAGAAGTACATGGTTAATTGATGAATTATTTTCCAAAATACCTTTTTTGAATCACTTTAGATATGTATGTACACTCTAAATGCGCTCTTAGCTGAAGATTTGAATCTTGTTTCAGAGAACAACAGTGACTGGGGAAAGGCTGAAGCTGTTTGGACTAAAATTCAAGAAGAAAATGTTGTTCCTCGTGAGAAAACACTAGCCTTACTGGCCAATATACTTGAGAAAAATGGTCAGGTTGTTCCATTTGAGGTACCTAAGGTAACTGGAGTTTAAATTTCCTAGCTAACAACACTTCTGAATATATTTCTTTCCACTGAAAAATGTTATCAGCACCACAGTAACTTGAATAAGTTTGTTTGTTTTAAAGGTTAGACATGAAGATGCTGGAAGTTTAAGTGCTTCTAATATGGAAGAAATAAAAATAAGGATGCTTTGCAAGAAAAACAATGCAAAAGGTAAACTGAAAACCACGGCGGTTTTTTCCCCCTTCAGCATTAATTTTAAGATTTTGATTAACTACAGAACAACAGATGCTTGCTGTTGCTTTTTGTTGATTTGTTAGTATGTTAGGAAAGGTACCTGATAATGTTACCTGCCAATATTATGCTTCAGAAGCTGACAGGAGAAGGATATGCTGAACTATTTAACATGTCATTGGAAATGCTGGCTTTCAATTGCATGTTTGAAAGCCCGCGTGTGGTGAAGTTGCAATTTAAATCTACCGAAGTGTTCCTGGTTTGTAGTTCACGTTACACTGTTGGGTGGTGTTCTAGACTTTCAAATGTATCCGTTAAACACCAGAAACTAAATTTAACGTACAGGATTGAGGCTAAAAATACCGTTTTAGGATTCCCAGAAAATCTAGCTATTGAGTCACAAGTTTTATGGTGTGAGACATGAGAAGTGTAGTGAGGAGAAAGATTAATATCAAGTGAAATAGCTGGGACGTGCTTATGGAAAGGCAATGACCTATTAAAAGGGGTTGTTCAGAGACATTGTGTTTGCCCCTGCTGTTGAAGGTACCTTATTTAAGCTATAGATTTGGCAAGGAAATTAAATAGATGAGATTAAATGAGATGGAACTGTGTTATGGAGATAATCATTGCTCTCTTCCTATCTGACTTTTATCTGTTAGTCTGTTTTCTGTTTGTTGATGTTGCAAGGCTATTTATTTCTATTTGAAGGGAGGATTCAATATGTTGCGTAGTGTCTTTAGCTTCTTTACAACTCAGATTAAAGTTGTCCCTGTTTCTCTTTAGAATTTGAAAACTTCCTCCCCTTGTTTGTCCCCCAAAGAAATACACAAACTGTAAACAAAAGGTCAAAATCTGTGTCCCCACAGCTCACTGTTTCCAAACCCCTGTGCCTGTGGGTACCACCCCACGAAAAAAATGGCCTTATTGAGAGATGACTTTAGATCAGTGCTGCTATGAAAAATGAATAGCTCTTCTGTGCAAACTTCCCTGCCTCAAATAAAGACAGAATTAAGTTATCCATGGATATTTGCCTTTGTATATAGAAAGGAGGGGTGTACTTCAGTGCAGTTCCTTTGGCTTGGTCTGTGTTTAAATCATTGGAAATCCATTGCTATCCATCTCGTCCCAAAGTGAGGTCACAGAGTCAGAACCAGCATTACTGGACCTTTCCAAGGGGGGAGAAAATCACTTAGTTTCCGGTGTTTGCCAAGGTGCAGAGCATTTGAATATTCTGGAAATCCTTCTTTTCTTTGCCTATACTATGACAAATAATTAGGCATCTCGCTTGAAAGCAGATTAGAAAATAGAATTAAATAGGTTTAAAAAAAAAATTTTGCTGAATTGAGAAAGATTCATAAATACAAGATACCCAGTCATTTTCTTCTCTGTTTTCGGTGTAATTTACATGTTGGACACACAGATTTTTAAGCTTTTAAGTTTTTAAAAGAAGACTCTGTCGGTCATTCGCACAATTAACTTCTGTTGTTAGTGAAATGATCCTACAGAGTTGTTCAGTCGCAGGAGAAGTGTGAAGTGGAGTCTGGATATTCTGTATATAGGGAGTGCAATCTTGTGTATGTGAATTTAAGAATCGTGTATTATGGCAGTCATAAAGTTAATGTTTTCAGAAAATTCTTCATGCTGGTAAATTTGAAAAATCAAAAGAAAATGAGAGACAGAGAAATATTTTCACTGAAAACTGGACAAAAATAACGGAATGTGTTTTATAACGTTATTCCTAGAAAAATGTCCTGTGCCTTTGATATCATAAATGATCAAGTGGAAAGCAGGAGGAAACTAAATATGCCTTGGACCTTGCAGGGAGACTAGTTTAAAGCAAAAATATAGAATGTCATCATAGACTGTTAGCAGTTATATTTGATATGGAATTTATCAGTAAATTATTCCTGCATGTTTTTTTATTTAAAGGTGCAGTATTTGAGAGGAGGTGGTCTAGAGCTTTTGGGAATCAAGGGAAAAGGTGACGTGTTGGGAAACAGTTTGTCTGTTGTTGGGAAACAGATAACTTTGTCTTAAACCTAAGACAAATAGAACTAAGTTGTCAGTTTAATACAACAGTATAATGTAATTTTGATGTGAATGTACTAGGGCAGAATATAACTTTTTATCAACATCAGCTTTTTGATAGGAAAAAACCTTAATTTAGAATCATTAAGGTTAGAAAGACCTCTAAGATCATCAAGTCCAACCATCAACCCAACACCACCATACCCACTAAACCGTGTCCCGGAGTGCCACACCTACATGTTTTTTTGAACACCTCCAGGAATGGTGACTCCACCACTTCTCTGGGCAACTTGTTCCAATGTTTGACTACTCTTTTGGTTAAGAAATCTGTCCTAATACCCAGTCACAACCTCCCCTCACATAACTTGAGGCCATTTCCTCTCTTCCTTGATTATACAAAGTCATGTTTCCATTTTTATCTTGATTCCTCAGTGTGAGAACTTGACTCTAGAGGGTCATGTTTCACATATCCCAAACAGTTGCAAATGCTGAAACAAATCTTACTGTCTTGAGAACTGAGACTTTCTTGGCAAGTTGTCACTTCTGTAACAAATCTTTCTACTTGAAATTGCTAGCATAATATGATAAGAACTTCCTCTGTTGAATGCCAATATACTTCTGTAATGTTAGATGCCATCTTGAAGAATAATAAGGTGATAATACCTGATAAGGCATAGGTTTCAGTTTGAGACTCATCTAGGTAGACTTCAAACGTGCTACTTGCACTAATGCGAAGTTAACAAAATAATCCAAATTGGAGAATCATTGTGAGGTCAGGACTGACATACACAACAAAACATCCTAGAACAGGAAAACAAACCTGGCTTTTTATGAAAGATTTTTAGTTCTTCATTGAACTAGTCATTACAAAAAAGATTGAAATATATTTTGTTGTAGAAACAGATGTTGATGTTGTAAACTGTGATAATTGACGGTAACATATGCTTGACATCATGACCACTGGTGGCAAAGTCCATTTCTGTACTCAATGAATGGAAAGCAATATTCAAACGCAGGGTAAAATCCTAGTTCATTTTGAAGACAGCAGGGCTTTTGTAGGAGTCTCCAAACATAAGGAGTTTTTGGCTTTAAAAAATAGAACTTAAACATGCTTTCAGGAGCAGAAGAACAAACCTATCACCAGTCAGATAGATTTTTGTAAATTATTAGTTACACTTGTATTAGATTATACCGATGAAAGGATTTTTGTTATTGTTGAATGTGATTGCTAGTCTACTGGTACTTCAAATTTCAGAAAAGTGGAAGAAAAAAAATCTCTTTCCCGCTATTTAAGTACAAACACTCTG